TTTTTTAGAAACTTTTTTACTATTGATAATAAAAATATTATTTGATTTTTTAATTATCAAAAATTAAATTTTTAATTAAAAAGATTGTAAACAAGAAGAAGAATGTAAAAGTAATTTTTAAAGATATTTTTTAAATTGTTTTAAGAATAATATAATTTTATTAATCAAGAAATTCAAAACTTTTAACAAATATTTTTTTTATATATAATTAAAGAATTGATAAAAAGAATTTGTTGTCATCAATTAGAATTCTTTAATATTGAAAATATTTATTTCTACATAAATTATCAAAAACCATTTTTATAATATAGATATTATATATCATAATTCTTATCAATTCTGAAATTCTGAAATCTGAATTATATTATTTTACTATTAGTATACTGTAAATCATATAAACAAATACCAATAATAATTATTATTTTACATAAGGGAATTATAATTAATGCATTCTTTTAATATTGTTCCATTTATTAAATTGTTTTATTATTTAATTTTGACATAATTGTACAAGAAATCAACTTTTTTTCAAGTTGTTCTAAAAAAGTATTCTTTTTATATGTAATCAGAAAAATGTTTCATATTAATAATTTTATGTAATCAAAAATAGTGTCGATACATGTTTTTACGGGTAATTACCCAACGACCACGTCAATATATTTTTAGACCCCAAATTTTGTACAACAAAATTCAATAATTAAAAAAATAAAAAACACATCTAGAGATCAGAATTAAGAGATTCGATAAAATTATCTAAATTTAGATCCTCGTATTGAGAGTCATCCCAAAGGTTTTCCAATCCATCAAGAACATTTTTTGTCGAGATTTTCTTTCCTTTCGATCCGAGACCACCGTTGTTGACACTTGAATTATTTGCGCTTTTTTGACCACTCTTGTCAGAGGTTACATTGAATAAATCGAGAATTTGCTCGGTATCCATGCTCTGCAATCCAGAATTTTGTTGATTCACGACTGAATTAGCTATATTGAGCTTGAATTTTTGCAGGCTGAAAATGCAATTTAATAATTAGAAAATAATTAAAAAATAATTAAAAAATAATTAAAAAATCCAAGTCCTGTAAATAATATAATTAATAAAGATCATTATACCCCATTATCTTCTCTTCAAGTGTGCCTTTCGTGATTAAACGATACACGTTAACAACTTTCTTCTGACCAATACGATGAGCCCGATCCATGGCTTGAA